AAAAATGGAGCTGAGCAGAAGGAAAGTGCCCCTCTATGTGAGTATGTGCTCCAGTTTGCAGTCTTGATGTCAGTAATATGGAATTAGAATATTAAAATGGGAGAACAAAACTAAACTCGGGGACTATAATTTCAGAAGTACATTACTCTCAAGTGGATGTCATGAAATAATACCGCACGTCATTTGAGCATATCAAGGATTTAAGGCCTGTGTCGGTCTTCAGAAAGGTTGTTGAGGTTGAAGTATTTTTATGCCGTGGTCGTATAGGGACCTTCATCTGTCTTTCAATGAGTCACGTATGTCTTTTGAATTGTAGTTTCGTTGGAAAAAAAAACATCAGTCAGTGCCACTATGAATAGAAACTTGGCATCATGTTTGTCTAAATGGCAAATCAGTTACCATTTGATTCATTCAAAGTCTTATTTTTTCTTTGTCTTACCATTTGATTCATTCAAAGTCTTATTTTTTATTTGTCATTCAATTACTCACAGTTAAAAAGGAACATTTATTTGCCTCACATGTGACACATATCTACCTGTGAAATCATTCAGCGGATGTGTTCAGGGTAAATATTTTTCGCCTTTCAGTTTTCTTGATCCCAATAGTGTACGCAAATATTAACGTGAGGATCAAAGGGGTGGTATATTTCTTAGGCTTTAACGTTTGTTCATGTTGTTTGCTTTGTCACGTTGAGGTCACCGCAAGGCTACACAAATAAAGAGCACAACCTATTTGTAACACTGAAAGGCATGCTGCTTGTTTTACCATGAGTCGGATCTTTGCACCAACATCATCATTAAAGTGGAGAGTCTTAATAGTTGTTTTTTTGGTTTGTGGGATAGAATTGTTGTTGTTGTAGCGTAGCCATTCATTTTTTTAATTGGTAAGATGCGTGATACAATAAGATAATGAGAGATGGAACATAAACCATTCTGGAATGCTGCCAGCCTTACACAGGAGTTTTTGCATGGACTTGTGAGCAAAAAATTGAGATGGGCGTACTAGATGGTGGCAGTTCGCAGTTCATAGAGTAAAGCAGCAGTTTGGAATATAATCTAGTTTCTTCAAAAAGGAGGTTAACTGCTTGCTTCATGTACTTCTGATGTACTTCTGCCCTGTGGAGACTCTTTTGCGCAACACATGCTGCATTTCTAGGGATTGAAAGGAGCCTTTTTGACTGGCCGTGTTTGCCATGTGACCACTCCCACAGTGGCGTAGCACTCTCTTGCAGATCTGCCGTCTTGTGTTTGACTGTAAAATTACCAACATCAGGTCTAACATGCCTCCGTGCAGAGTAACTCCACATCCCGTGCAGAATTTTGTGACGGTCACAAAAAAATGGAGCCCAAGGCAAAAGCATAATGGAATTTGCTAGACTGCTGCTCACCGACAATCCTAATGAGGTCAATGGCTAATGAAAATGGACGAATGGATGGTTGGGTGAAGGTGATCCGTCTTGCTGCATCTAAATTTCTAATCTTTATTTTCACGTAAGTTTAAAAAAAAATTAACCACTGTTAAACTTATAAACAAAACACTCACATAGCTTTAAATGTGAGTCTGCGTATGTTGCTTGAACTGAAGTCTGACAAGATTGTTGCTTGAACTGAAGTCATTCATGACAATAGTCTGCCTTTTGGAATACACTCAGAATTGGTTGGGAATCCGATGTGGTGTATTTTCTTGATTTATACATTTGTACAAATTAAGGGCAATATTGTGGGTTAACGTTTGGCGTGTCCTTAATCCTTCCTGTTTGGAGTTTGTATCTTCTCCCTGTGCTCGGGTGGGTCCTCCCTCGCCTACTCCGACTTCCTCCCGCCTTTGAAAAAACATACATGTTACATTTATTGAAGACTCAAGTGTCTGGAGGTGCCCTGTGATCAACCAGGAACCAGTCCAGGCTATATCTAGCCTGCCTCTTGCCAAAAGTCAGCTGCTATAGGCTCTAACTCAACGTGATGCTATTGAAGACAAGTGTTATTGAAAGGATACATGGATAACACAAACAAATTGACACTGGTGGCCATTCCATTTGTGCAAAAGGGATGCGAGTGTGTTTGAATTCATATAAAGAAATGAATGAGCAAATGAATCGCGTCGGATCAGCGTTACATGGGTAAGAAAATTCAAGGACTTTGTTTTCACATGAAAACACGTATCCCCCATTTCTCTGCCGAAGAATTTTTTTCTAAACCCTAACCCCAAGCATGTAAAAATATTTCTCTGCCGAAGAATTTGGCTCATCTCTCATCTCATCCCTTTTTTTCTAAACCCTAACCCCAAGCATGTAAAAATGCCAATGAAAGAAAGAGAACAGGAGACGACTGGAAACACTTTGTGAAGCCCACACTCTCTTACCACACAATTCTAATATTCCATGTACACCGTCTTTCAAGGTCGTCCTTACAGCTGGCGCTTTTGTCTTGCCTTCTGTTCCACAGCCTGTCTCATTTTCTGGTACCTCATTCACTTCATATTTCCCAGAATAATTCACACACTATCTGCTCTATTGATGCTTTACTGTATGTCTTTTGCAATAGATTTATGCCCGCCATGCAACTAGTGAGCTGCAGTCCAATGCAGGAGAACTCTCGGGGATGAGGTTGATGAGATTACTCAGAAGCAGCAGATAAATTATACTTTCCCCATTACTGTCCGTTATCTCATTCTCTGCTTGTAAATATTTCTGTAATGTCATTCATGCCTTCTATTTTCGTCATTGAATTGTAATTTTACGCGGACATAAATTTTGGCAAAATTACCTGATGGAAAACCACTCTTTTAAAATGAATTATTAATCACCGGTTGATCAGTGCACTGGCATTGTAACAGTACTTGCTGCTGATGCTCCGGCCCAGGACCCAGTAACTACATCAACTCTCATGGTGGTGCTTGAAGAAAAGCCCCACGATGACCCAGCGGGATACATTTTAGCCACCGGAGGCTGTTAGTGGCTATGTCTTGGCGGCTCAAACATGTAGGGATGTCCAGTCATAAGAAAGATGTTAGACGAAGGAGCATCCATTTTTCAGCGTGGCCTGGTTTCACACGTTCAGTGGACATGCTCACATTGTTTGAGTGGAGACCAAAGGCTTGAATTTATTATGTTGTATATCAGCCAAATGTTTTACATATTGTGCACATCCTCATGTTCATAATTAAGTCCCTACTTTTAACTTTTATTTATTTTTTTGCAATTGCACATGTTTTGTTGTACTTAAATTGCCTGCATTGAAACAATGGCCCACATTTAAAAGACCTCAACACAGCCTTCCTAATTGGGATTCTCAGTCAAATGAGAGTGCCATAGATATATTGTTACATCCACAATTGACAATTTTAGGCTCCGATCAGTCTATGTCTCTGTGCTATGGTTCTGCTCTAATTCACATTCTCCTTCCTCAGATCAGGCGTCCAAAATGTTCTGGCCTGTTGGGATCAGTGCGGGTCTTTGCGGCAGACACAAAAAAAAAGGCATTCCTGTTTTTATTGAGGGGAACTTTTATTGTACCCTCAAGAGAAAATCTGTTGATAGATTTAGTGTACCACTCAAATATTTACAAATGTACACTAAAATTTAAAAAAAAAAAACAAAAAAAAAACAATCCATGAATCTATATTTTACGCATTTAACTCTTTCTAGTTAATGCCGGTTTTCAATTGTTTTTACCTCAGGGCCAGGCCAAAGTGTTTGCATTATTGGAGGGGGAGGATTCCATGCTTGAAGATGCCGAAGTCTTCATTGTTCTGGAAGGATCCACACTGGTCCATGTCACCAGGGCTCAGAGCGACGTCATGCTCTGCTTCATAGTGCCTGGTATGTGCATGCGTATGTGTGATTGTGCCGTGGAACCTCAAAGTCCACCTCAGTTCGTTTTATGAAAACAAGCAAAATTAATTCATCTCTTCCTTGTCGATTAGTCTTACGTTTTGCTAAAGTCTCGCATGGTGTCACACGCGAAGATGAACTCCTAAATTTTCCTTGACGTGACCTATTTATCTCCAAATTGTACACCTTTTGGGGAATGGACTTTGGCAGGTCGACTGTATATTACCTCTCATGTGTGTCTTACTTAACGCAGAGAAAAAACAAAACAAAACGCATCTTTTAAATATGGAACTCCTGCTTTGGAAAACTGGTGTTTTCAATGCTTTCACTGATATAGCCATGAACAGGATATCACCATTCCGATCATATACTGTAAATGCAGACACACACACACACACACACACACACACACACACACACAGACCAAATCCATGACTTGACGTCTGGAAATGCACAGAATCTTATCAGCTTCCTCTCAGGAGGGAAACGGCGCCACAAACAATATGTCAACATTACGAAGCCCCAGTACAGTTTGACCGAGATGGCAAGCGGTCGCACAGGCCAGCGTTCCCGCTACGAAAAGTGCACTCTGTGAATGCACAAAGGTGGCTAAAGACCAAGGGTTCCTGCCTTTGTCGAAAAAAAATAAATCATCATTATCACCGTGTACCAGAAGGAAATATGCAAGCACAGTAGCCATTATCCGTCAGTAAAGATGCTTTGATGAAATGTCTCAGGAAGCTTAGAAGCACTGTGATTATTTGTTGACCAAATTTTTGGTGTCACTTGTTACCGGACTTTGGATGCAGTACAGAACGAACACATTTAGTGACATGCAGACAAAAGTACCTAGTGGAAACAACGTGTGGATTTTTAATTTATTCATTTATTTATTTTTGTAGGACATAACCTCGCTGAGGTGGTCTCTGTGCAGGCCTACTTGAGCTCCGAAACCACACCTCTCACATGGGTGGGTGGCGCAATGCTGGAATATGTCCAAGACGATGCACAGGTATGAAAGCTACAGTGTTGTGTAAAAGTCTTGGGCCACCACTAGTGTTGTATCATAATAAACCCCTTTTTCACAGTATTTATTTTGACATTGTAAACCCGCAAATAATGACACATACAGTTGGCAGGTTCCACAAAAAAATACAAAAACAATTGCAATAAAATGTTGTCGCTTGCTGGGTGGAGCATGTGATTAACAAGAACATTATTATTTGTGATGCGGAAAAAGTGCTAATTCAGCGATGTACCGCATATTTTTTTTTTCATTTTTGTCATTCACAATGATAAAACTGCTAATACATCAAATCCAATGTAGGCATAAAAGTTGGCATAATACTGTACTGTCTATTTAGAAATCTAGATGTATTTCACAATATTAAGGAAATTGAAAAAAAATGTAATCTGAATAAAAGGAGTGACTTCTATCAGGTTATGAGTTAAAAAGAATTGGTAATATTCACTTTCAGGAGCTGGCAGAGCACCTGGTCACCCACGGATATAGTCTGAGCTCTCTGGATCACAAGGAGCTGAGCAGCCTCTTTAACCTGGGCCAGCAGAGCTCCCGCTGGGCTATGGATCGTCGTGTAGCCCTCGCCATGGCGAACCTGGATATTCCTCCAAATTGGAACGTTCTGGGCAGTCCCAGAACAGACGGTGAGAGCTGGCCTCAATACAGTATCATCTTGTGCATCGAGCAGTCAGATGACATTTGTATTTCAATTTAGAACTAAAAAAAAGAGTGGCCTTGTCTTACAAGGATAAACATTCAAGCCCTGCCTACATTGAAATTTCCTAAACACGTTAGAAAATACTACAGTCCGATGAAATCGGCGTTGAACCTTTATGGCCATAATTCCAAAAGTGCCGCAAACACAACACCGCTTATCACCAAAAGAGCAGGCAAACATGATGGTGGCAGTGTCACAATTTTTTTTTTTTTTTTGCTCTGTTATAAGGGTTATTGCTGATATTAATGGAGAGAAAACATATGAAATGATATATCTTGGTTTCATTTTTTTATCGCTAAAACATGATGTGACCAGACTTTTTTTTTGTATCCAATATATGTATGTGTATGCTAATAAATGCATCTAGAAGCTTCCTTTGCAAGAAAGGTGAACTGTTGAACTCTGTTCCCCGCGACCACTCTCCTCCACTTTCGCCACCATCATTAGCATTTTCCAGTGCTTGCTCGCCGGACCGAAATCGGAAGTGATCATGCTCACATGCGTGCTTCTTGTTGAATTCATCATAGCTAATTAGGCAGCGTCTAATGTGGTTAATAGAGCCGTTCCATCTGGACGTTGCCTGAGGCGGAGCGTCATCCATTTGCGTGTGGCTTGTGCGCTGACCACCATGTTTGCTAGATGCCACCGTCTGTTCATATGAACTCATTTGCGGTTTACACCCACCTACAAGACATAAACAACAAACTAGATTTCAGGCTAATGTTGTTATGGCAGCCTGTTTCATTGCAGTGCCTCCCGCTGAATGTCTGCAGTTAATCAGACTCAAAAGGGATTATACTTGTCAACCTTTTAGCGTTTGACTATTAAACGCAGCTGAAAGAGCAATGCTAATATTGACTTGCACACCCTAAGAACACATCTGTCCAATCCGCTCACCTTGTGAAATTTTGACATACAATATTTAGTCAGCCCTAATGTTTGAATGATGTGGGACGAATATTTAAGGTCTTATTAATTTGTGCATGTTTTGGGCCAGATTTTGTTGCTGGCTGCTGGACCAGTAGCACTTTTACACTGTTTTATTCTGTTCTCATTGGACTTTCATTGGGTGCACCTGTATCATATATTATAATAGAATACAACTGCTGAGCCTATTTTAAAACACAGTCACAAGGCAGTCACGTATATTTTGTAGTTCAGTGTGTGCATTACATTTCTAAGGGGTTGTCATGAGAAGACCCCGCTTTATAGATCTTGTTCGACTGCTGATAGCTGACAAGAAAACATGAAGCCCTTGCCGCTTTTTAAAACATCTTTGGCTGTCTTAAAGTGGGTCAGTGGGCCAGAGTGATTCAGTGATAAGTAGGCTAATTATTATAATAAAGCCACTCATCAGAGGAGATCACTATTACATGTCACAATGGTGATTTAAACCTTGCCACTGACACATAATTTTCAGTTTAATCTCTTTATCACTCACCTGATTGCTTGCTACAGCTGAATGTTAATGTCTTCTTATCACAGATCACAGCCCCAAAGAGTCTCTGCTCCACCTGGCTGTGCGATGGGGTCTGTGTCGACTAGCCGAGCTGTTGCTTTGTCAGCCCGGAGGTCTGATGGCTATCAATCTGCCAAACAAGGAGGGAGTCACGCCGCTGCAGCTGGCACACTCATCGGGCAACAGAGAACTGCTGGAGCTCCTCACGCAGTAAGATTTTAAACTCCATTCAAACAAGTAGCTGAGTTCACAGTACCACTAGTGATGCACGGGTACCTTCTAGTACAGGGATGTGCAACTGGCGACGTGGCAGACATGGCTTCATAGCACTTAAATCCTGTCGTCTACTACAACATGAGTAGGTGTATCAGTTTAATGCAGGACAAACATAGTCCCTCAAAATTAATTAAAGCTCAAGTTTCTTATTTTGCTGTTTTGTGCCATCTTTGAATGGTGAATGTATCCAAGGGAGCCCTTTGTAATGGGGGGGAAAAAAAGTCACATAATGTACGAAGTGAGTAGTCCTCAGCCTCCGATAGAGATTACCAGAAATAACAGACATGATGGTTCTTCCACTTTTTTGGGGACTTTTATATGAAATGCAATGCACAACAAGAAAAACAGCAACATAGATCAGAAATGTTAATCGCCCTTTTCAGTACTGATTTACTTATGACATTTTTAAGACTTAACGGATTGTAATTAAAAACATTCCCACTAGGGAGCACAATTACTCAAATTATGCCTTCAACCAAATTCTTGTTCAAATGTCCAAGTCACTGTTTTGTATTTATTTATTTTTTTTAATGATTTAATTTTGTGGCAGCCCACCCAACCCTCTAGCCACACCTCCTGCAGGACTATCTCAGGTATGGGCAGACCGCTCCCGTTTGCTGAGATACTGTCACGACACGGGGAATCTGACACTGACCGTCCGACAAAATCTCAAGTGGAGCTCAGAGGAAAGCCGGCATGCTGATATTCAGCTGCTCAGAAACCGACTTAGAGATGAGGGCTTCCTGAGAGAGGTCAGTGTGATTGTTTTGTTTTTGTCCTTGTAATGTCTCGGGACTGAACGCTTGAAATAGTAGATGGATGCAACATTGCCACAACCAAGCTGTTCAGCCGTGTCATTTCATAAATAGTATTGAGTGTATGATTGTTCATCTTAAGATTCAAGAAGATTTATTGTGTGTAGTAACAGTATAATCTTCCCATGATTCTTGTATTGAAGGTGTACCTTTCTTCTCCCAGATTAAAGCGCTAAGAAGAGAACGGACAGAGACAATTTTCGGAAAAGAACAATTGGTGGATGATCCTGCAGAAAACGGTATTCTAACCAATCCATATCCGTAAGCTTACTGGGATTTCAGAGTTTAATTTTTCCAGACTTAACTGTTCTTCATGTGGCAACCTTGAGCCACTTTTTTTTTCTCTGCTTTTGTTGCAACTTGACTGACCTCATGTGGAAATGTGAGGTACTGCGTAGAGAAAATGCGGACTGTTTTAGGAAGCAAATTTGAACAATAGAAGTGTTCCATGTTACCAAATTTATTGCTAATCACGACGTGCTTGCCTTTGAGAACTTTAAGGATCATTGTGATTGCATAATAGGACCATAAATAGCACCTGCACTCTTTGTACTGTATGGCCAAATAACCCCAATCATCTCCACTCAAATGCTGAGAGAAATATGTACTTCCATTGAGTATAATGCAGGGTTTTTTTTTGCCTGTTGTAGGACCTTTTCTTGATAAGAGTGGAGATAATTCAGCTGCAGACGAGAATGTGAGTCCAATGATCACCTCATTAAATCACACACGAAACAAAAAACAGAAGTATGGAAACTATTTTCCATTAAACCATGAGCTCCATCAAACCATGAGATGATAATGATTTGTTTTTGAGTCGATTAATGTTTTGTAAGTATGGCAACCAATTGTTCCTTACAGCAAGAACATTTGTAGTATGTTCTACATCAGTGGTCTGTCCCCTCCTGTCAGATATTAACCAGATATCTGGTTAGAGACTGGACCAAAAAATGCAATCTGTACTGATCATCAGATTGTCAAAAAAGTTTGATTGTGGAAGACAGGTGCATTTACCTGTTCCTTTGTACACAAGTCAGTTGACTTATGGTTGTCAAAAAGTAAGCCTTCAAAATAGTTGCAAAAATTTGTTAAAAACAAAGGGGAAAAGTCCAGATGAAGAGACAAAAGCAGAAGAGGGCGACTGTGCTAGAAAAAAAAAATGCCGCATAGAAGAGACAATATCAGCAGTATACGTAAATACTTATTTTTCGCAGCAAGTGCTTCCAGTAGTGGGTCCTGGTAGGTATGTTCATTATTTGCAAACGAACCAAATCGAAACAATTCAGTTCAGTTTGTCAAATCAAAACTGGTCTTTCAATTCAGATCGTCCACCCCCCCCCCCCAACACCGCTAATTTCTCACTTCCTATCTTTGCAAAGCGTGATTTTCAGACATTTTCTGAGTAGTCTGCTTTTAAGTAACAAACTTGGGTGCCATTGGCTCCCATTCACCCAAAATGGGACTGGCTTGTTGAACTGCAACAAGCACAGCTCACACAAATTACAACAATTACATTCAGTTAATGGTGACTTGTCTTTTCAATTCGTTTCTGTGCCAGTCCGTCCAAATATTGTCATATGTGAAACCGATTCATTGCGTGTAAAAGCTTTGGAACGCTTTATTTTTAATTGAAAATTTCTGAACTGTCATATCTTCTGCGCTCAACCTGTGTGAACATCTGCATCAGCCGGGCATAAAGTGCACCGGCACCACCTCACTGCCCCTCAATGCTCCACGTTGTTTCAGTATCATTGTTAAGGTGTTGGAGGCTCCACCTGGCACAGTTGCTTGAATGGCCCACATTGTGAGCATGTTTCATGTTTCTGTAGGACTTGTTGTATACGTTACAGATGGTTACCTAATTGATCTCTCTCGCTGTCGCACACCCGAGTCGCTGCCAAACACTTATGTTTTTGTACTTAGCCAGACTTGGTTTTTTTTTTTTTTTTGTTTGTTTTTTTTTTTTTAGTGGAATGCTTGTAACCTGATGGAAAAGTCTCGCTGTGGAATTGTGCGCGTGCTGCTCGGTGAACATTTTTTTCTCTGGACAGGACTACGAGGAGCCGCTAATGTTTTGCCTCAATCAGGAGGACCAAGAGGACGAGCAATCTGACTCTGGTAAGGGGCCTACTAGAAAAGTAAAACGTCAGAATAGTTCAAGTCCCATTTCAGAATGAATCTCTGTGTAAATATTTCTTTTGACGCTTGTGGTGCTTCAGGTGTGGATATGAATGTGGCTATTGTTGTTTTAGGTGTCCAAGTTAGCTACCAATCATTAAATGAGCTCAACAGTAGGAAACGTTTGACAAATCACATTTCAGCCCTCGCGGCCTCTTTCTTTTGGAGTTTTTGGATGCTTGTTACTCTTTGTTCACCACAGTCAGGACACATGGAAGGGATTTTTTTTAAATAGCGTGCAGAAGAGCGCTCCTGTAACCAACCCCAGAGTCATCCTACTCCTGCCAACAGGTTTTGGATCACAAACGAATTGTAACGATGTGGCTGTAGGTGGCTTCCTTCGGATCTCCTGTTGGGCAAGAGGGAAAAAGGCTTGAGAGGGGGAACATCCTGTGGGTTAATGATTGGCTTGATTAGTTGGTGCGCAAAATGATGCCTGAGCGTAAGAATGTCGCGGTTACAAGCTGAGGCTGCGGGCTTTACAACACTTGGCACTGGACGTCTGCAATTTTAACTTCCTGTGGCTGGTGTTGTTTTCCATGCTTTATGCTTTAGCCATTTTGCTCTCTGCATCTGTGTGCGTCTGCGGCCTTGAGGATATTCACATTATTTTCTGCGCCGTCTTTAAACACAACCGCCAGTGACCTCAAATAATCCCCTGAATGCTCTTTTTTTTTTTTAAATAAAAATAAAAAAGCTCTATCATGACACTGTTCAACATTTCAATGAAAAAATACATGAATTGCACAGGCAGGAAACCACTTTTGTGTAATTGCTAGTGAGCTCTTAATCCTTTATTGACAAGTGATTTCGACAAGTGTCTTTTTTTTTCCCCCGCTCCTTTCTTTTTATCTCACGCTAAACGGACTCTAGACTCGAACCAAGGTGTCATCAAATAGTCCGATGGAATCTCTGCCGTCAGAGCTTCTGCAATGACTGCAAAGGGATGAGGAATTTTGAGCGTAGCCGTCATATTCTCCCTGTACTTCTTGGGATCAGCTTCTTCTCAAATTTATGCTGGCTTAAATGAAAGTACCTAATTTAAATGTATAACTGGAAAATTTGATTTAAGGTTGTTCATGTGAACCTATTGGTTACCAATTGGTACCAAAAAAAAAAAAACATTCCCTTGTTTTCCATCCCTCCTTCTACCTTTGCCCTTCCAATGCCCCCTCAAATTCAAATACCCAACCCAAAAGACACACATGCACGTGACGCACACACTATTCCCCCAAATACTTACACACACAAACAGACTCATTCTCCCACTCCCCCAATTCCCTTCGCAATAGGTCACAATTTTAATTTGAGTTTAGTGAGCAACCAGCAAATGACACTGCTCAATATATCTGAAGAAATAAGTCATGGTTGTGCATGCATGTGTGTTGCGTTTGTTTTCCAGGAGGGAGAATGCAGGGTTAGTGTGCTGCGAACAGGGGCAAGGAGTATAAGGGTACCAAAAAGGGGCTGATTGTGGCTGAATGGGGGTTGCCAAGGCTTTCCCAAAAGCTGTTTCCAGCAGCTTGTCGAGATCCCCGGGGAGAGGCGAGTGGAGCGGTGTGAGAAATGGTGCGCGTCAGTGGAATCGAGAGCAAGAGCGGAGAATTTATGATACAGATAGCTTGGCAGAACGACAACCGATGATGAGTGCGATGCCAAAAATGCTAACAAGAGTCCCCGACCCCAGCTGAGGGATCTAATTGGAGAGCGGAAAAAAAGGATTAAACCTCACACAGACCCCACAAAGCCAGCATTAATGTGCACCCAGTACAGTGCCAAAACCTGCACAAGCAGCCTCACACTTTCACACTGCGTTACTCTGACGCATTCTGCCCTCAGAACTCTCATATGCTTTTTCCATCGCAGTTCAACATTTCGCTGCATTCTCAGCACGTTTGGCATCCAGTGCGGGTGCTATTATCATCTACTTGAGCCTACTTGTGCGCCTGTTGCAGTAAGCCGGGGAACTACAAGTTGGCAAGAGTTGAAAAATGGGGGGTGGCCAGGACGTGGATAGTGAAGAAGAAAATAGCCACGGCTCTGGCTGTTGTCTCCATGGTGAGTCTGCTGACCTGGCAGTCTGCACTCCCTTTCTCCATCCTCACAAGGAGAAACATGGATTTGACATGCCTTACACTTGATTCAAAGAGATTGAAGTCGTCGGGAAGGACTACCTTCAGATGTCAGCTGTCCGGCACACTTAGAGGGGAATGAATGGCTTTTCTGCCTTGCAAGTATGTGCCGAGCGTTCCATCCTGGCGCATCTCTGAGACAATCATGAACTCGCGGGGTTAATGATTTCTCCAGTGTCTGAGAGTCACCTCCACTTGGGTCTCTTGCACTCATGTTTGACTTCTCTGTAGGTTCTGAAGTCGCTTCTGTGTTTGACTTTCTCTCCATCTGGAACCCTCCTTCGATCGCTCTTTCCGGCCCGTCACTGACCTCCCCAACCGCCCTGCCACGACCAACATAGGTTCACCTCCTTGCTCCTTCCAAACTGTGTCTGGCAGATGAGTGAAAAGACCGAGCGATCCAGGGAATTGATTTAGAGTTAGGAAAGTCTGAGAGGGAGAAAGAAAAGTTGAGGATGTGGACAGCACGAGACTCTGAGTTGGACACTTCAGAGTTTTAAAGGGGGAAGGGGAGGGCTTTAGGGGGAGGGGTAGTTCGACAGGGGGGGGGGGCATGCTGGCTCTCTCCTAAAGTGTCAGAGTGTCCACAGTGGGGCTCTGGAGAAAGGAGCAATTGCTGAAGCGAGTGTGCAGTGTCTTCTACCAGAGGGAAATGGATGTAGACTGAGGCTTCTTTTTGCAAGGTTTGAGCTGGAATTGGGAAAGAGCAATTCATGGATTCTGACTCAGATTCTCCTTTCAACTACTCATGGCCGTCTTTTCCGAGGATGAGGATGCGTAAAAGTTCTGGCAAAAAAGGTACCAGAGTGTCGTACCCGATGACTGTAGAAATCTATATGCTGCGTCATGCGTGATACTTGTTGTCATCTGCAGTTTTGTGAAAACAGAAATTTTCAACCCATCTAACGTATTGGTCAGGTGTAACATTTAGAATGCATGCTGATGCTGGTTGACACAAAAGCTTCACTGTTCAACTGACGTTTAGGACGGTTGGAAAATGGACAAGACTATTTTGGAGCGATAAAGTTGAATTAAGACCGGTGCCATCATCACGTATACTTCTTCACCAGCAGTTACCACAACGGAGTGAGATAACTGTTTGTTTGCCGGTGATGTAACCTGATATCTGACAGTGTGTTGCGGAATGTCAGATGGCCTCACGAGGCTGATTGACTGCTTTGAGACTTTCGACATCTTGGGCACACGTTTCATTGTGGAGTCCCGCAGGGCCATGTGATTGTTGACTTCCATGATGTTCACAAAGTAGCTTGAGTATGTTGTGTATACCCCGACTTAGTGCAAAGGTGGGTTGACCCGCCTTAGCAGCTTAGGAGACCTTCTAAATTCATCAAAATTGGGCTTGGACACTGTTGCTTGTGTGTAGAAGCGTTGTGTTTTCTCATGAAGCGAGAGACCGCGCAGACAGACACAGCTGAAGCTCAAGTTACTGTCGTGTCTGTGTCATGGCTTCACTCCAGTCGTCTTTCCCTCATCTTTGACCATAAACCTCAGCAACACAATCCCGGTTATTGCCTCTTAATTGAGATTGACACTGGCCAATTTTATAAACCCAGCCCGCTTGTACTACCAAGCCAAAAACCATGAACTCCACAATCAAATTGACCATATAAAGACTTGGCCAAAATGATTGGCTTGCTTGAATTTGAAGTGGACGTACGGCATCCAGACTTTGAACAGTGAACAAGTTCAGCTGCTAAACACACTTTGTGATTAAAAATTCAGACGATAGACAGAGAAATGTGAGTTCGTTCTTAGGTGAATGCTAATTGTTGCTAAACTCTGCTTATCAACGTTCAATTACATGCATGAGCTAACAGATGATGATCCCATTATCACTCAGCCAAAAACTGCAGATAAGCCAAGGGCAACGGTGTTCAGAAGATTTTAGGGCACAGAACTGTTCAGGTTGTCACAACTGTCTTTGTTTTGATGCCTGATCATCTGGAGGCACTGCATGAAGAATAATGTGACATCACCGCAACAAAGTACAGAACAACCGCATAACTTTGCCTTAAATTCACGAACCTAATGCTAACACAAAGTGAAATGCCATCGATGATCTACTGAATAGAATCGGCGTTGCGGCGCTAAAAACACTTTTTAAAATAAAATCAATTTTTTTGAGCACAAACCTTGGAGCAACAAATGCGGACAGATAACATGACAATACTCGCTGGCATGTATTCTTTATTCTCAATAATGACTCATGTTACTCTGTGTTACTGAGAAGTTGATGACCATGTCTGTATAGTATTGCTGTCAGGTGGCCAAGGTGCGCACACCCAAAGGGGCATCGAATTGTCGAATGAAATGAGGTGAAAACGATGTCGTTTCTTTACACTCTATCGAATTATGTCACTTCTAGTAAAGTAAAATACAGTATTATTTGAGTTATTTTTCAAAAACACATTCTGAACATTTTTGTCAGGTTTTTGGGAGGCTGTAACAGATAAATGGCATTTGCATTCATTTCAATTGGGAATGGCGATTTGAGATACGAGTGTTTTGAGTTACAAGCTTGGATCATATGCCGAGGCACCACTGTAGTTGAAATGACCCACGTGGCTTGAAACGTTCTGCATTGTGTACCTGACGTTTTGGGATGTCTGGTAACAGTCCGACTGCATAAAAATGAAATAAAATGAAGAAAAAAAATCTGTGTATTTTCAGGTGTGACAACCTTTATGTTTGTTTCGTCACTCTGAAGGCCGATAACTGTCCGCGTAAGGTTTTCCTTCCCCGGGATCTCTTGGTCAGCTGAAATGTAAACATCATGGTAAGACGCAATGTGATGCTTGGACCAATTGCAGGTGTCGTTACTCACAGTGGATTTGTGGATTTTGGTGGTCAATTGTTGTTTCTGTATAAATAGCCTTTTCTAAAACCCCGGGGTTAAAAAAAAAAAAAAAAGCTTCTTTTGCTTTGATTTTTTTTTTTTTTTTGTTTCCATTTTTAGACTGAATTTATTATTTTACTTCCCTTCCAATGTTTTTGGCCTCTCCTGAATATGACAGATGTTCAAGGCAGTGCTTCAAAAAATGACCTCATAAAAGCAGAAAAGCTTCGATGATTCGTGTTTTTGTGCTCCCAAAGAACATGAAACGCTCGCCCAAATGACAGGTACGACTGTTTATGTTGAATGTTCCCCGGGAGCCTCCAAACAGAGTGAACCTTGAGAAAGAGCCCTTGTGACAAACCTGCCTCCCCCTTTCCACGCTGCCTTCCTTTCGATGACTCCCTCCCAGGGGTGTGCACGGGTTGAAGGGTCACTCTCTGTGTTTAACTGCCCTGGCCTGGAGACCTGCCACTGACTGGCGTCTTTGTCTTACTTTTCTAGAAGAGCTCTGACACTCTTAAGCTATTCAGGCACCGCTACTGTATAGGGTTAGTGCTCACTCAGGGATATGCTTTGAATATCACATCTCTCCACGTATACCTTCTCCTGGGCACGGTCCTAAACAAATAGCCTGACACGCTGTTAGACATTTCACTAAACCTACTTTTGAAATGGCAACCTGCACGCAGACATCGCTCAACAGTGTGAGTAATCCGATCTCTCCCGGCTTCTCTGTTATTCCTCCGTTAACTAATGTTAAACACAGATCTCATGGCTGACAGTAATGATCACCAGGCAGTGGTTAATGGGTCAGAGGTGTCACAATGATCCAGGCCGTAGCAGCCAGCTGTGGCTTCGAACCTGCTCCAGCAGCTGAATTATTAGCCCCTCTCGGTCAGTGTTCCAGAATGGGGTTTATATGAAATGAAATCCTCTTTCAAACAGTGTTTGACCCTCGACCAATACAGTACAGCGAGATAACACATTCCATTCATGACACTGGTTGACTTGATTAATTGATTAGTCGCTCCAATTGAAAAACTGAAGCAAAATTAATTAAGATCTTCCACATTTACGGGGCAATGTTTGCCATTTGTCAGCAAGTCTGTGTGGTCATTTTCTCGCTCGTCTCTACTTGATATGCTTTCAAGCTACGTGCTTGTCTGCTTGGTAAAATAAATGTCTTCATGCAATTGATATTTAATTACTCGCAATGCTCATATTGCACTTGGCAACTCAACTTTTGAAGTATCTTTTTCCAAGTTGCGTCACATTTGGTCTTTGAAAGTTCTACTGTCTCACCCTGGATTTGATGTTGTAGCACTAAAGTACCTGTAAAGTGAAAATAAATGAGTTAACAACCGTGCCTAATTTGAATAGTAAAAAAAAAAAAAAAGGCAATTACAGAAAATGAGGCTTTTCTGTACTTGTACTTTTATTTTTCTTTAGCACTGGGAAAACCAAGCCCTTGTCTCCACTCTCAAACACTGGGCGCTGAATGTGTGAAGCCAAACCCTGTTGAAAAATTGACGCTGCTTCATCTCACAACCTTCTTATGCTTATGCATGGCTACATGTTTGTGCTGCGAAAATACATCCAATATCAAGAAGAATCATCTGCTTACTGGAATATATCTCACCAGGTCATCGAGGACGAGAGGCACTAGATACCAGCCAGATGGGCAGCGGGCTCCTCCCTTAATAATTTAAATAATGACACAGACATGTAAATTTTTGCGTCTTGGGAAGATGCATTTTCAGTGACGCATGCATAGCTAGCTTGCTAACTGCATGCTGTCGTGATAGAAATCATATAACGGGGGACTCATACCTGTCACTCAACGACTGTATTTCATTGGGCAGCTCAAGTTTTAATATACTGTACATTGGGGGAGGGGCAACTTATGTCGGGTGCCCGAGGCCATCACCAGGCACAGTTTTACGAAATGTGAAATGGTGCGAAAACATTTTAGTACATTTACTCGAGACCTTTCTCAGTTTACTGGGTCTTCAATGTGTTATTAAACCATTTTCCATGGACTATCTTTTGTGCTGAGTTCTGCTGCAACATCTGGTGTCTTTGGGTTTTAAGACATATGGTGTACTCCCAGAGTTTGGAAGTCGTGATCAAGGACATGCGTGTTGTTTATATCATACAGATGTGCGACTTACATCTGATTTCGTACCTTTTACGTTACACATGAATGAACCAAGACTCATCTGGTTCTCTCATCAATGTCTACTTGACTCCTTGTGGGTTCTCAGATTTATTGGACTCGCAGCCAACAGGAAGCAGAGCCATTTGCTGGTCTGATTCACTCTCCTCTATAAAGTCGGACTTCTTTCCTCCTACTGTGTGGTGCCAGCAGCTTGGAAGCACAAACTACCGGGTTTTGGCGTTTGAGTGACAGCTGTTTCTGAGTTCAAAAGGAATGTTTTTGAAACATGGTTACCGGTGCAAGTGTGGTCCTTTAGAAAGTGATGCTATAAATCCAAGCATGACATTAACTGAGTTAAGGACGCTGTCATTGTGGGGTTAACACAATGAGCATTGTACTTGTACCGCCGGATGTTAATGTGGTTAGGAATTTTTTTTTTCCATTGAATGCATCACCGAATGGGATACCGCTGCACCTTGATACACTTCACATTCACTGAAAAGCTTACTCATGTTGGTCTCCCAAAAGATAGTTTGTAACAATATAACAAGAAAGTCAAAGTAATAGAATACGAAATTATATTCTCCAATTTGGACAGACAAGTTTGATCGACAACATATTATTTTGCTGTTGTGTGTGTGTGTGTGTGTGTGTGTGTGTGTGTGTGTGTGTGTGTGTGTGTGTGTGTGTGTGTGTGTGTGTGTGTGTGTGTGTTTTCAGGATTCAGTTCAGGATTATTCAGAAAGACTACTGAAAAGAAAAAAAACATATCATATGGCCTTGTGACCATCTTAGACCTGCGCTGTACTTGATTGTACATTAAGGTGTCTAAATTCAGTTCAACTCAACTTTATGTATAGAGGACTCAAAAAAAAAAGACAGACACTCAGGCTTAAAAACAAAGACTGTCAGGCTGAATTTCATTATTTCATCCCCAGATACTAAGCTAATACTAAAACTACCGCCTGGATTCGTTCCCAGAAACAGCGCTTCGAAGCTGAGTTTTGGATAGAGTGCATGTGTGTTTTAAGAGCAGGCGTGTTTTTGCAAAGCTAAACCTGGCTGCCTCTCACAGTGGCTCCACTGTGTAGAATATGTTCCCCCTCAGTGCTACTGTGTGCTCACTGGAAGTTATCTTCTCGCCACTGCCACACTGAAGGTTCGGGTGGGGGGAAGAAACAAGCATACAGATGCCTTGGCACAACGCCTGACACACCCTTTCACGTGTGTGTGCAAAGGGCCTTTGAGAGACGCACACACACACACACACACACACACACACACACACACACACACACACACACACACACACACACACACACACAT